ACGCTATTACGTGCACTGTTGCACGGAATTCGCGCCTTTTTACGTGTCCAGTGCACGTTTTCCCGTGCACCGTCCCGATCCTACCCACGGGTATTCACTGATAGCCTATGCTAATATCAAGCTATACACGAGCTTGGAACAGGTAGTAGTAGAACCCTAGCCCTACCCGTTTATGTAAAGACTCAAATTCAAGCTCTTATCCTTATCTTAGGGCCCAAAAATTGATGCCCCAACCCGGCTATTGTGAGCTTATCCATGAATAGTTCGCAATTAGGCGAATTAAACGGATAGTATCTTACATAGATTGTATAACTAATATTAAAGAATAATATTTTGGATATTTTAATAGATATGAAAGTTTAACAAAATTATAATTAAACCGAGATCCTAATTTATACAATAAAAGTTATCAGTATAAAATGTTAATCCGCTCTTATGAAATATAGATTTTCGATGTCAAAGTATGGTTATGTTTTTTTTTATTTAGACTTTTTATGAATTTGAAATACTTCATATTCGTTTACAAAATAATATGGGCTTTCATTATTAGGTAATGTAACACCAATATATTTTTCATAATGAGTCACGGCATTAGTTTTCCATCCATTATTTTGGCCATTATTAGAACCATTAAACATACCAAGATCGCACCTACCAAAATTTATGCCGCAATTAAAACCCATATAAATGGCACCCTGTGGATCTTTAATACGACTTAAAATTGAATTTTGAACTGCATCATTTTTCAATGAAAAAATAAAGCTATCTTGGCAACTAACACGTGCTTTTTTATTGCCATCCCATGCAATTGGACTATATCCACCGAGAATTCTTTCAATATTATCATTGTATTTAGCATTTATAACCGTAACAGTATTTGATTTCATATTGCATAAATTCCAAAATGATTCACGAGTAAATCCATCTCTACTTCCACGAAGAAGTAATTTAAATTCGTATGGATTATTTTTTGTATTGTATGCAGTGGCACTTTTATCGATCCATGATGCAATTTCAGCTGCATGTTCTTCATTAATTACGGTTGAAAATGGTTCAGTTGTTCTAGTTGGCAATTCTGATTTTAAAATAATACGAGGTGGTAGAATTGTTGATGTAGCTTTATGATCGGGTGATAAAATACGTTTAATCAAATCTTTCCAAAGTTTTTTTTCAATAATTTCAAAATATGGTAGCACATAATCTGCGATATCTTGGCCGGACATTTGAAAATATCGAATATGAGGTAAACAATTTTTCAGTGTAACCTTCAGAGTAGTAAAATTTTCATCAGACCAGTCTTCAAGATCCGAGGGCAAATTGGGATTTTGTGCAATTCCCCACTTTATAACATAGTTCCAAATCTTTATCTCTTCCATTTGCAGATTATCACGCTTAATAAGTGAAATTAATGCATTTTCATTAAGAAAATCAAAGTCTTCAGAGTCAAAAATAATATTTGGGTGTTTTGTTAAAATGCCATTGCACCATTCTTGTAGTTCTTTTAACTTTTCATTTTGGAAGCATGTTTTATAAATATTTGTAAAGTGAGAGCGTAACCAGTGGGCTTTAGACTCGATTAAATAAGATTCAAGTGATCCAACTAATTCTTCGAGAAGGAACTCATCAGCAACTAAAATAAGATCAAAAATAAATTGTGCATCGAAATTTTCTAGAGAAGCTAAACCTCCGTATATATACCTTATTGTCAAAATCAAGTTAAAATTTATGCACATAACGTATATGTAGTAAACATAATATACTGTAATTAAAAGTATTATATGACTTACTTAATAATTATTTCAAATTGCTGAACAGAAATCTGCGAATTTAAATCAATTTTCATAATACTATCGGCATTTTTGATAGCATTCTCTAATTTTTTCTGAAAATATGAAGACCTGCATTTCAAAATGACCGAATGTGCTTTAAATTCCCTAATGTCTGTAGATTTTCCTACTTTAATAATCACATTAAAGTCATTTCCTTTTTCAAGAAGTTCAATATAATTATTTGAAAGTTTTTAAAAGTGCTTAATTGCCATTTTCCTGCATAAACTCGGCAAAGTTTTCCGATATTCTTTAGTGTACGTATTACTATTGTATTTTTAATTTGGCTAAATGCATGTGTATGTTGTACTACATTTAACATTCCAATGATGTTAAGTTTTTCACATGATTTTCTTGTGCCTCTAATTACGGACAATTACTTGTACGTACGTACGTACTGTCACGATTTTCTAATAGAAAATCGTGACTTGTAGTAACGAGAATGTGTATACCTCAGGTCATAAGAATATTATAAGGCTGGGTTGTGGCGAAGGCTTAGAAGTTTAGATCTGTACAAATAATTATTTTAATCGTCATCTTTGTTTATTCTTATATCTATAGATTCTTTTTATTTGTTTGTTAGTGTAAGGCCTAGGGTTTGGGTCTGGAAAAGCTTAGGAGCATCATGGTAAGATCGGCTTAGGAGGTATAGGTCTGGACGGGCTAAGGTTGGATAGGTTGATAACGTTATCACAAGTATAAACCCAGACTTAAAAATAAGAAGAGTATTTTTCTTGTAGTAAGCCTTCCATGTAACTCGAAAGTATAAAAGAGCTGTCTTTTCGCTCTTCGAATAAAGCTTTAGACTTCAATGTCTTTAATATAGGAGTATTAAGAATTGATTTCTCGAATTGATGTTATATAAGTTATCGTTGTATTGTTGTATTTATTTTATATTTTATTTCCCTTACCTTAACCGTGAAGGCCCTTCACGATTGTATTATACCCTTTTTGTTATTACCCTATTACTTTATTACCTTATAAGTATCGACCCTTAATATCGATTATACTGATTAGCTATCGATATTACTGATTTATTTAATTACGATTACATAACTTGATTTATTTATTTGATTGATTACTGGTAGATATAATTAAGTGCCCCGATCTCAGATCAATTACGTAATCTCACGTGCCTGAGTTATTATTATAATCGACTTTATTTATTATTATATTACCTTGAGTTCTATACAAAGAACATATAAGTTCACTATTGGAGTTAAATTGTGCCGATAGTTCTATAAGCTCTCCCAAAACAATAGTAACAGTATGTACAGTTGCCTCCGAAAGTTTGTCACGGTTACACAAAAACATAGTCAAATATCGATATCCAAATCAACGATATAATATTGCGCGCAAAGTAATAAAATATAAATGAATACAACTGACTCTTGGTATAAAAAAAATAACCGGGCCCGGCCAAAATCTTATATTAAAGATAAATTTCTCAATTGGAATTTGTAAAATCTTTCTTATATCAAGAATTTCTTATATTTTGAAAGTTTCTTATATCGAGAGTTGTATACGTACGTACGTACGTATATTATTTGTCAAATGATTAATCATAATTTTTGTGTAACTGTGACAAACTTTCGGAGACGACTGTACGTACGTACGTAGGAATGTTAAATTGATCCGATCTGGATCACAAGATCAAGGATTAGTGGCCCAGTCTAACCCGAATTAGAATTATTTCTACCGCAATTGCAGACCAAAGATTGGGTCATAGACCATTTTAACATCCCTAACTGTACATACTATACATGCCGCAAAAACTATTTCGGCAAGCGGTTCATTTTAAAAATCAATGCCGGAATAGCGGAATAGTTTTGCGGCGACAATAAAAATAAGATTTAGCCATACGCATGGTGTAACGGTTCAACATAGAGCGGGTTATTATCGGCTTACGTACCCGCCAGTTTTCAATACTTAACCGATGAATGACGTGATAAAGAATGTATTCCCATATGTTCCAACGATTGTTGTTGCCACAGTTTATATGTTACACTCAGATACTATAATTCTTTTTCATAATATACTTGACAAACTGGCAGTTACTTACAGTATTAAATTTTTACCATGTGTTGCGTTTATGCCCACATAATGCAAATATTCCAAAAATCCGAAAAAAAAAAGCCGACCGTTGGAAAGGGATTCTGTTTATTGAAACATAATGTGCACGTACATAATCACATTATCATTTTTGCCCTAATATATAATCCGCCTTTTTATACCAAATCGATAGTTCTAGTAGAAAAAACATTGTAAGCATTGAGTTTCATATATCCAGCGTCTGTTATAAATTTATGCCATCTTTTTGTTAAACAAAGAAATTACGATTAACTTCTTTGAATCTATTATAGCCTTAGAATACATGGAATCTTCATCTTCGTCTCAAGTGCGTTACCAAGAAAATGATATGAACCCTTCATATTTTTTGTTCTTAAAAAACTTCCAAGGACAAGATCCAGTAAATAATCATGTGAATCTTTCGTTGTTTTCAATTTTCTCTTAAAGGTCGATATCGAGCACTTATGATATAACCTCCTCTTCTTTCAGTTTTCCTTTGAAAACCAACAAGACCTATACGAGGGTGCAACAGGAGCTTATCATGAAACATATCAAGTAAACCAACAGCAGCAAAACCTATATCAGGGAACTTATAGTCCTTTACAAGTGCATCAAAGGCATCAAGTAAGTAAATTAACATGTCCTTCGCATCTTATCATTTTCGTTAAACGAAGTCTTGGGCAAGATCACGTATCACGTGTAACTGCAACCCGGAAATTCAAAAAAAAAAAAACCTCTGTTTTGTTAAAAATCGCTTATTTCTCAAAAATCTGCGTAAGAAACCACCTTTAGTGCTTTAATAAAAAGTTTTCTTTGAGCAATTTTATTTTTACGTTGTTAACACCTAACCCTAATTTAAACACTAACCTTAATGTCAATGAACTTTAACAAATTTTTCTGCGCCATATTTAAATAAACGGACCCGGATTAAAGATGCTTGACGAATGACGAAACTTTCGTCATTGACGATTGACGAAACCTTTCGTCAAGCCAATTTTGAAATG